CATAATTTACTCTAAAGATTTATAAAGCAACAATAATTGTAAGTACATGTACCTTTAACATATGTTGAATAATAGTAATAACGGCAAAATTACGTAACCTGTTAGTACGATAACGCTCATAAATCAATTTTTATTTCGAAAATCAATAATTTTTCTTATATACAGAATAAATTTATACATTTTTGTGCGAATTTTATTATAATTAGTTTATGTATTATCATTCAATTTATAAAATATATAAATTTTGATTTGAAAAAAAAAATAAAATTGCCCCCAACTCACAGGTTACACCCATCAGCGAACACTGATTTACTAGCAGAGCCCCGGTAATTAAGCATATATATATATGTAATATATAATAATCTATTTTGAAAATTTCAGTGCAGAATTCCATCCAAAATTTTATTTTAAATCGGAACCAAACTTTGATGAAGTCAAATTGAAATGGGCATATATGTTTTTGATCAATTTAATTATATATGTATATATATGATCCTAAAAGTCTGCAGCCTAGAAGGCAAAGAAGATGGATTTTGTTTTGTATCATAGTGTTAGGGCTTAGAAAGAAGAGAATGGGGGACACATGGAGGGGTCAAGCTGGATCATGTTTGCTTCCTCTCTCATTTGATGCCTAACCCCCCTTTAGGGACCACCCTTTCTTTTGCATTTCTTCTTCTACTCTTGTCTCCTCTACACCCCCCCCCCCCAAAATAAAATATATCAATACATATACATATATTTACATAGCTTAGATGATTATAAATTGGATTTTGATTAGGTGGGACTAAATAATGATTAATTCATCTTAATTACTGATTAGTGGACGACCATTCATCTTTAAAGTTTAGGAGCATGGATACGATTTGAAAGATCTTGACTTTTGGCACTTGGGAGTCGAAAGCATACATATTTAAACCATGGATGTAATAGAACACCATGTTTGGAAGAGTTGAATTTTCTATTAGTCTGTTTATATAAGTGTATGTAAAATAAAATTAGATACTGGTATAATTATTTTTTATGTACTTATATTAATATATATATATATATGTAATATTGAATTAATTACAAACCCATTGTTTTTAATTAATAATAATAAAATGTTATCCAATTTCGTATATATTCAAAAAATTTAATTTTTTTGTAATTTTCTTGAAGACAACAAACAGTAATAGTGGGAGATATCTAAGACGGTGACATACATAACCCTGGTATTTTGACCATGTTCCCTTGACTGCAATCAAATTTAGCAAAAGTCAATTAATTACGTGAGAACACGATAAAGGCTTCAAGTCATCTACGCTTTCCTCATGACTAATTAAATTTTATGTTTTTCTCCTTTTAATATTTTCTACTACATATTTTGTACATATATATATATATTACTTAATTAATAAATATAAAAATTTATTAAAAAAATTATACATCTTATTATACATTAAAAATTGATAGGAAAACTTATTAATTATAGTCTAATTGAAGGAGATCAGTTTATTAAAAAGAATGATAATGTAAGTAATTATGTAATAAATTCAGAATTTTAAATTTATTAAAATAATAAAAAACTAATTCTATGTAAAATTATAATAATAAATTTTAAATTCTATTAATCATAATAAATTTAAAAAAAAAAACGTATTGTTTCAATTTTATTGAAAATTTTATACAACTCTTTTTCGGCCCCGAACTTATTCGATTGGTATTACTATATTTTTTTTTTAAAGAAACAAAAAAAAACCCATAAACCCAAATGCCTATATACTAAAATGAAGGAGCCAACCCAGTAACATGTACATATACATATATATATTTATATGTCGTGCAAATTATTTTGATGTGGTGAAAAAATGGAAATTAAATTCATAATATTAATGAAGCTTCGTTTAAGTTGATTTTATTCCTATTCAATAAAGGGAAGTCTTTTTCTTTTCCTTTTATTATTATTATTATTATTATTTGTTCATGTCAACATCCTTGGTGAAGAGGTAGTAGTTGGACCGTCCATGTCCACGAAACTTTATTTCTAGAAATGCCTAATCACGTAATATTTTTCAAGAGGACAGTTTCCTTAATTAAAAGAATTATTAATTAATCACGTTTATTAGTTTTGTTTTTTTTAAAATTATTAATTATTACCTCAATGCATGCAATATACATATATATATATAAATATATATAGAGTGAACAAGCTATATTTGAAATTGATTAACATGTGAAAAAACAGTAGTTTTTATTTTAATTGTAGAGTAGACTATATGCACACATATATGTGGAAAAAATGAGTTGCGTATGATTTAAATCAATGGACTTTTCCTGCATTTACTACCGTGGTGCCTAGAGATTATTGGGTTAATAATAATAATATAAATATAAGTAATTGTTACATATTTCTTTAGGGTTAACAATTAATAATTAATTAATTATAGCCTGACTCCTATATATATATTATACATATATAATGTGGCATTTTCTAACTAGCTGGAAAGCAGTATGCTACAAGTAACAAAAATTTAAGAGGGAAAAAGAGACCGTGTATACATCAAGCATGAAATGAGCAAACACATAGTAAACCCATAAGTACTTCAAATTAGCCTTGTTTTTCCCATTTAATAAATAAACCAAACATCATTCAAAAACTTTGCCAAACTTATTATTACATATATACACAAAAATGGGGATTAGAATCGAAATTGGTTGAATTATGAGGGGTGCAAATGTAGGATAATGTCAAATATGAAAATGTCTAGATTTATACATATATTTATATGTGTGTGTGTGTGTGTTGGAATAAACAGCCAGTAGTAGCTAAAATAGACTAAACAAAATTAGGGTTTTGGGTCCACCTTATGATGATAATAATAGCAATTATATAAGCTGTAATTACATATGTACATATCAACTTTAGCAAACTTAAATATCAATTGATTTTTCAATATCATTGGCTACGTCAAACCATCTGTTGAGCAGCATACGAAATACATTCATTGGCAATTATTGCCAAAATTTTTAGGTCAAATTATATAGAGTACTTCGTTCAAGAACAAAACTATTGGATTTAAGGATCTAATTTAGTAAAAGTGCTTGATTCTTCTCGTATACCTTATGATTTAAAACACTTTATGGTTCGGTATATAGGATAAGATAGCTCGAAGCATTATAAAATTATCTTCTAATTAAGATAGATTTTTACTTTTACATATAGAACTCGGTCCCTGAAATTTTTTACTATAGAGGCGACAAAAAGAATATCAAGTCCGTGTTAGCTAACTCTTAAAGGAATACCTAATTGTCACGGAGGAAGAGATTTGTGTTACTACCAAGTAACTTCATTAACCAAAATGCATCCCGTGCGCACCCTAGACATGTGCGATCAAATTTTTTGAGAAATTAATTTTTAATCATATAATCACTCTTAAAATATAAATTAATTATTTTAATGTCTTAATTATCATTGAGATTTTAATTTAAATTGCGATATATTTCATTTTATATCTGAATAATTTTATATTGCAATTAAGATCAAAATTTAAGTAAGAAGATTATAATCTCCTTCAAACAAAATATTTTTATAATAAAGAGAAAGAAAATTAAAAAAAAAAACAAAAACACACCCTTTGGATATATGGATGTTGATACGCCATCATTAACTTAATTAATGTAATTATTCAATTAATTATTGTTGATTATCGTATCATCATCTTTTAAACCACATCAAATCAAATATACACAGATTTTGTTAAATTAATTATTATAATATTATTCGAGAAAGATGGTGAGGAAAACAATGTCATTTGGGCAAAATCAAATGACTTGATAATTTAATTTATTTAAAATTTTAATAAAGAAAATAAAACCCACCTACCCTCTTCATCGCTGCTTATATTAAAAATTGTTACTATGAACCTCGACACGAAGAACAAGTACAAACAGAAATTCTAACCCAAATTATAAATATCATAAAATCAATCGTAGTCATGTACACGTGATTGCTGCAACATAAATCTTCTCCTTTCAATTACTTTATTTTATTTTTATTTTATATATCACCATATTAATTATATATAGGTAACCCCACCTTCAGATACATATCATAAAAAATATATATATTATAATATGTAAGCATACACAATATTTATATGACCAAACTTTGTTTCTATTTGTTTAATTTTAGGAATTTAATTTAATTTTAGAAATTCGAATCTTAACTTTTCTTTTCTTTTCTTTTTTTTTTAAATAACTATCCTCTTACATCAAATTTAATTTCAGCAGAAGACCCAACAAATTTGCATGTGATGTAAAGGAGAGTACATAATAATTTAATCCTTTTCTCTAATCTAAATTTTTTAGATTAATTGATCTTTTAATGCATCTCCATAATTATTTAAAAGAAATGGTTCAACCTTTACAACGGTTTATGAAATCATGCAAATGGGGTATTAATTAAATAATTAGTTAATAATCAGAAAGTAATTATATAATTAGCTCATAGTTATCAATTTGACGGGTATAATAATTATATATTTAAAAAAAAAAAATAAGACGAATGAGTTCTTTTTTATTTTATTTTAAAAAAAAAAAAAAAACAAGTGAAGCAATGCGGAAATAAGCCGGCAGAGGTCGCAATCGGAACCCAACAGATTCACCAGAAAGGGGCCGCGTGGTCAGGCTGACGCGGAGGCTAAGACAAAGGCCAGAGCTGAGATGGCATCATCGGTGGACCCCACATGTCGGATGTTCTCACGATATCTTGCGTGTCGTGGGACCCACTTGTCCCCTAGCCTCGCTACAATTCCTGAAACAATAATATTTTCAATGTCGCAGCGGCTACACTACTACAAACTCCGTAACAGTCTTTGGATGATCCGGCGGTTCACGTAAACCCCTCGGTGACGTTATCATTGCCCCCAAGCAGCAAAGGCTTTCCCTATTGTCATCTATCACTCTATAAATACCACTCCCATCTTCTTCTCCCTCGCACCACCACCTCCATAGTAGTAGTACTCGTATTTCTCAAAATCTTGACAGTCAACTGATTTCTGATCAATCAACCATGGCCGTAGATTCAGCTCTCTCTTCCCCACTCGGCCCACCGGCATGCGAGAGAGACGCCAAAGCTCTCCAGTTCATTGACGAGATGACCAGGAACACTGATGCCGTCCAGGAGAGGGTTTTGTGTGAGATACTTAGTCGAAATTCGGAGACGGAGTATCTTAGACGATTCCACCTCAACGGAGCCACAGATCGGGACACGTTCAAATCCAAGGTTCCTGTTGTTACCTACGAGGATCTGCAGCCGGATATCCAGCGTATCGCTAATGGCGATCGCTCTGCTATTTTCTCTTCTTACCCGATTTCCGAGTTCCTCACAAGGTACTAAAATAAGCATTAAGCATCTGTGACTCAATCTTCTCCGCCTCTGACTCATTTCTCTTTCTCGGTTTTCGATTGTATTGGATTAATTATTGCAAACTGATGGATTAATTTGCAGCTCTGGGACATCAGCTGGAGAAAGAAAACTGATGCCGACAATCCACGAAGAATTAGACCGTCGGTGTTTACTGTACAGTCTGCTCATGCCCGTAATGAACCTGTACGAGTATATTCATATTTTTTTTCTTCTACTACAAAAGTAGGATTACTGTAAACGAAGAGTTAAATTAACGTACGTGTATATGGGTGCAGGTACGTTCCAGGTTTAGACCAAGGAAAGGGACTGTACTTTCTGTTCGTGAAGGCCGAGACGAGGACGCCAGGGGGCCTCCTTGCACGACCAGTCCTCACAAGTTACTACAAGAGCGAGCACTTCAAGGCAAGACCTTATGATCCTTACAATGTCTACACAAGCCCCAACGAGGCCATTCTCTGCGCCGACTCCTTCCAGAGCATGTACACACAGATGCTCTGTGGCCTCCTCATGCGCCAGGAGGTCCTCCGAGTCGGCGCCGTCTTCGCCTCCGGTCTACTCAGAGCCATCCACTTCCTGCAACAAAACTGGAAAGACCTCGCTCACGATATCTCCACCGGAACACTAAGCTCTAAGATCACAGACCCTTCCATCAAAGAATGCATGAGCAAAATCTTGAAGCCGAAGCCAGAGCTCGCTGAGTTCATTGCCAAGGAGTGTTCGGAGGAGAACTGGGAAGGGATTATCACTAGAGTTTGGCCCAACACCAAGTATCTTGACGTCATAGTCACCGGCGCCATGGCTCAATACATTCCCACCCTTGAATATTACAGTGGCGATCTGCCGATGACCTGCACCATGTACGCTTCATCTGAGTGTTACTTTGGGCTTAATCTTAAACCCATGTGCAAACCCTCTGAAGTCTCCTATACCATCATGCCAAACATGGGCTACTTCGAATTCCTTCCACATGACCCATCTTCTCCTTCGCCGCTCTCCCGTGACTCGCCTCCACGCCTTATCGACCTCGCCGACGTCGAGGTCGGAAAGATGTACGAGCTCGTCATCACTACTTACGCAGGACTATGTCGGTACCATGTTGGTGACATCCTCCAAGTAACAAGCTTCCACAACTCGGCTCCGCAGTTCAGATTCATCAGGAGAAAGAACGTCTTGCTGAGCATTGACTCGGACAAAACCGACGAGGCTGAGTTACAAAAAGGAATCGAAAACGCTTCATCTCTTCTCGAGAAGTACAACACCACGGTGGTCGAGTACACCAGCTATGCAGACACCAAGACAATCCCTGGACATTACGTGATATACTGGGAATTACTAGCCAAAGACCCGGCTAATTTTCCAACTCATGAGGTGCTGAACCAATGCTGCCTAGCCATGGAAGAGTCACTAAACTCAGTATATCGACAAGGCCGAGTCGCGGACAACTCGATTGGTCCGCTGGAGATACGAGTAGTAAAGAGCGGCACGTTTGAGGATCTAATGGATTACGCCATCTCAAGAGGCGCGTCCATTAACCAGTACAAAGTCCCAAGGTGCGTAAGCTTCACTCCCATAATGGAACTCCTTGACTCGAGAATGGTGTCAAACCATTTCAGCCCCGCTCTGCCGTTCTGGACCCCAGAACGACGCCGTTAATTGCATTAACACGGCCGGACATAAAGGATAATAAAAAGAAGAAAGAAAAGAAAGATCCTGATATTGGCAGAAACCAACCCAGAAAACAAAAGCAAGTTGGAAAGAAGAAGAAGAAGACGACGACGACAGAGATGTGTTAATATCAACTAGGGTTTGTCGAATGAGAATTTTAGCTTTTAAAAGTGTCTGTTCTTTATTAGTTAGTTGTCCTTTGAAAAACATTTGCAGCGACTCTGCTCGGTTTGTGTAATAAGTTGATAGTATAATTAGCTTTATTGATGTTTGCTTGTTAACGGTGTCTCGCTCTGTAACTCAGCTTTTCAGAAAGCTGAGTTTAGAGAAGGAAAGGAAAAAGAGGTGTTGAAAAAGAGTGTGCAATCTCTGAGACGTCTTCCGTGTAATTTGTAAATTTGCAGCTTGTTGTGTAAAAATTATTCACTTGTAATGTCTCCTCTAGGCTTTTTTTGCATGGATTTTAGCGCACGTGATGGATATTCCTCTGTCTGCTTTAGTTGTTAGATTAGTAAATTTTAATTAATTGAAATTAATTATTATATTTTAAGAGAATTTATGAGATAATATTAATTACTATAATAATTAAGTTTGATTAGATTGAGAGATTAGACGGTTATCACGAGGTTGTAGGAGGGAAGATGATGGATGCAAAACGCATACGTAATTAACAGTAGGTGCTGTTTGGCAGCCTTATTTTTTTTGGTTTTTTGTCTTACCTGATTCGGGTACAATTTCGGCAGCCTTATTCCCTTTTCTCATCCAATTTGTCTTTTGTTAACTCTTTGCCAAACACTGCCTATCATTTATTTCTCTCTCTCTTTTTAACTGAAACCCTTTTCTTCTCTCTGTCTCTAACGGTACTATACATATACCATTGATTATAACTGGCACTCATTTTCTTTTTTTTTTTTTTTTTTTTTTAAAAAATTTGATCGTACTAATAAATCATCTTTAAAATCAATGAAAGCTGGAGTTTTGTTTTAAGTTCTATTTTCATTATATAAATATTAATACACATTTAAATAAAATAATTTCGAATTCTCTATTAAGGAAACTTGTAATAATTTGTTTTCTAAAACCATATAAAATAATTACGTATAGCTAAGTATACTAAAAATAGTTTTATAACTTTATTTTTTGAATGTATATGTGTTTTTATTTACAAAAATTATATAAATTAGAAAACAATAGTAAAATAAAAATGTGTTGGAAAATTTTAAACTATATAAATATATACCCAGTACATATTTTTATGAGTAAAAAATACATGTAAATTTAGAAAATAAAATTAAAATATTTTTGTGTATTAAACTGAAATTATGATTAGTAAAAAGTGATTCTTTCCCAATCTTTTTGTCGGAAAAAGATCTCATAAAAATATTTTATTTGTACTCAGACAAAATTAAAATTATATCATTAGTAATATTAATAAATATTTGATTTCTTTTATTAAATCTTATGAATAAAATATTTTTTATATTTTTCAATGTAATTTTTTTATTAGTCCTATGTTAAGAATGAAATTCAAATCTCACATTACCTTTTTTATTTACCGTAATTAACTCTAAGTTAGTCTACTTTTAATTTTTTTTATGTTATTTTAAAAATTCAAACTTGGTTTTTTTTTTTTCAAAGAATTTTGAAATATACTTTTCCATAATATATATATATATATATATATATATATATAATATCATTCTCCAATGCGATCAAATCACAATTGAAATTTCTTCAACATAACATAATCTCAAGAAAACATTAGGTTTAGGTAATTGGCTTGACAAACATGAAATGTCGTTATGTTGGTCGACGTATAGGGCAGGGAAGGTTGCTTTTGGCGAAATCCCGGGGAGCTTGTGGGAAGATCCGGCTAGATTTCTATGGATTATCAAAAAGTAAATTAGTACTAATTACATATTAAATTCACTAATTTACATGATTTGGACGGTGATCCCGTAATAATTTGCCTTGAAGTTATTACCTATTACCTTGTAATTCAAAAGCTACCAAATCTTCTCGATTGAGACGACAAGTTTCCTTTAATTTTTTATTTATAAATAGACTAAATTAAAAATCTAAATTATCTAAAACATAATTGTAGATTAGAAAATTAATTACAGTACTTAATTAAGAGCATTATACAATTTTAAAATACGAAATTAGTTATATATATATATAATAAATATAAAATCCTATCACTATATAGTCTTTAGGAGGCACCAATTGGCTAAAACTCAACTTCAAAGTATCTTAGCAAGTTGGTAAAGGAAACATCACTAATTAAATATTAATTATTCACTAATCAAACATTTAATTTAGTTTATTTGTCTAGTAATTTACAATTAAGTAGACGGCTGCTACATAATAACTAATCACAGAAGAATTCCATTCGAGCTTTGGTTGGATCCCGATTGATGACGATGTTGTCTCCTCAATCTTGGACATGATGATCCATCTCTCTTCATATTTCGCCATTGTAGACCAGTATTTGGTCAGCGACGACTCCATTGTTGGTTGTCATCGGTGCCGTTTTGCTTGCTGACGATGTTGTTTCCAGAAGCTGCCACAACATATATATATATGTTTCTGGAGATCACTATGGCATATCATATGTATATAATATATTTCCAAGAACTTAGAGATTAAAGAAATTATCACTCTAAAATAGTTATATGTTATGATGCAATTGATGAATGTGTTGAAGAAATAATGAGATCAACACATTTTTTTTATATATTAAACGAAATATAATATATGTTTTGAAATTAGAAAAATTATTCAATAAAGATGGCTTTTATTTTTCAAAAACTATGTAAAGAAAACAAATTCAAAAATATTCATGGGTTAATCTTAAAATTTTAAATCAATAATTTATTATATATAAGTTAATATACCTCGCTATTTATAATTGTACTAAGTTATTGCGTAAAAAATCTAAATTATCGAAATAGATAAATATATTATTTATAAGTTAACATATTCTCCTATTTGCAAGTATGTTAAGTTTAAAATATAATATAAGTAAGAATAAGATTCGAAATCTAAACTCCTCGCCTAACATAATTTCAAATAATTGTTTCTTATAAACATTTCTAGAAACTTAAAAAGGGATGGTAAATAATTAAATATTATATTTATAAACAAAATAAAATAGACCTTAACATGGGCTATTTAATGCATTAACTTTGATTTTTTTATCTTGATAAACGTCAAAATAATGAGAGTGAAAAACAAAACATTTACCTGGTTGGAAGTCATTGTTTTCTGGCGTAGGTAAACAGCTAGGATTAAGATTTCTCAGTTGTCCATGCCCTAAAAATTGTTCCACATATCTACTGTCTTCATAGCCACCATTATTAATCCCATCATCGTTGCTCATAGTGTCGCCACACAAAATTTCACCATCAAAATCTATATGAGCAAGTAGTTGCTCCAGTAACTGATCATCATCGTTACTGTTATAATTATTTATGTTATTAATATTATTATTATCATTATTCTTCGCTGGATTTTCAAAATTTCCACCGAGAGAGTAATTATCAATGTTGTGATAAGAGACCATTTCAGGAAAATTAATCTTTGTCTGCTGCTGTGTTGGTAATTCAGGATTTATAGCATTTGAACTGTAATTCCCTGTTTGTTGGCATTTAAATCCACTATGTTGATCATCATAGCCAGGATAATATGGAACCATCTTATTGTCTTGATCATGATCACCACTAGATGCAAATAGTATTGATTGATTAATCCCATTTCCATAATTACCATTGACTAATGATGGAAACCCATGTAGTCCCATGTAGCTTGGAATCATTTCATGATTATCAACTGTAAGTACTGTTTGTATTGACTGATCATTACCAGCAAATGATGAAATTCCATTTGGTGTAGTATATGGAATCATTCGATCACGATGATGACCAGCTGATGAAGAAGGTAAGATTTGATTGATTAATCTAGTATTGTTTCCATAAATAGAGGCTGGAGCTAACCCAATAGGAAGACCATTATAAGTGTTAGCAGCATAGGAGGGAACGGGATGATGAGTTTGATTAGCCAAAGCTGCTGGTTGATGATAATATGATTGCATAATATTATCACTTGTAATGTTTCCAGCACTTGAGGATCCAACATCGAACTTCAAATTATGAAATTGAAGGCTTTTTGCTGAGCCTGCACAGCGTCGTGCTTGAAGATGACTGTTACTATTTGCATAATTCCTTAGTTGGTTTCTAAGGATTCCACCACCATCACTGTTATAATTTAGAAATTAGACTTTAACAACTTTCTTAAAATCTTAAACTAATATCATGGTATTCGTTAACCTAATATAGATGATTTTCTAATTTTATGATGATATTACAATACCTACTAACATATCACATGCAACATAAATGTTAAATTTTATACGAGAATATAACACACTTAATAATAACTTTAATTTTAAAATTTATTGGCTGAAGTTATAGTTAGATCAAGATATTACATATATAATAAGATCCATTTTTTTAGAAAAAGAAAGAAAACTTTATTAATTATAAATATAATAGGATTTGATCTATTATTTATACCGTAAATAAAATCAAGCTAACGAGAATTATTGTGTGGTAATTGATAAATATGAAAATAGACTTAGAATGTGAAAAAATACCTACGAATTTGAAGTCCATGATGATCAAAATGAGTTGAAGCAGCAAGCATGCGTTTCCATTGATTACCATCATCATTTTGTGAATCAAGCCAGCTGATGAAGTTATTGATAGAAATTCCATCTCCTCCCATGGAACCATTGGGTAATTGCAGCTATTAAAGTCCATATAATATTATAATAATCAGTTATGCAAGCACAAATATACATATATGTGTGTGTATGAATATATATATATATATCTCAACTCATCACTTGTTACATTTTCATCGAGATCATAATTTCCTCACTTAACAACAGGATATTGGTAGCAAAAGAATTGGTGAATATATAAACAGGATTTGATTTCTATTTCTTGATGTTTTGAACTTAATATCTTACACCATCAATCAAGTTAATAAAGCTTATAGTGATGCAGACATATATACATATATACTTATATAAATCTACATACCCCAATAGCTGCAAGCTGGGTATCATCATCATCATCCTTTTCTAATTCTTTCTTTAATTCCAAAACTTTCTGCATAATATTCAATAGCTTTCACTTGTTAGAAATTCCCAAACAACATATATTATCAAAATTAGTAAGTAATAATATGAACAATCCAAAAAGTATAATTGAATAGTTTGTTGGGAAAATTCTTTAATTAAAATTCATGATAGACTAACGTATAAATAGAATAAATATTGTACGCCCCAAAAATAATTCTAACGTATATAATTTACTAATTAAGAAAAAAAAAACGGATATACCATGATTACGACGTGCATGCATGCACGCATTTTATTCTTGTTCAGGATTCAAATACTACTCGATTCAAAAATTATAAATTTTTGAAACAATTGATTTATTAAACAAAGTAAATATCTATACATACACATAAACAATCAATTATTCGCAAAGACCAGCACATTTTTACACGTAATTGAACTATAATATGGTAGATATTCTAGGCCTAAAAATAACTCTAACATATAAAATTTTCTGATTTAGAAAAAGAAAAAAGGATATACCACGATTACGACGTGCATGCATGCATTTTATTCTTATTCAGGATTCAAATACCACTCGATAAAAAAAATCGTACATTTTTTAAAATAATTTATTCATTAAACAAAAGTAAATATCTATACATACACATAAACAAACAATTATACGTGAAGACAAGTAAATTTTCAGATATATGTCATGCCGTCAATCAAATTAGAACATAACTTGTATTAGTCATCTAAACTAAAAAACTAAAGATCGGGACCATATAAATAAATAATTTAATTATGATCTATAATTTCAAATCTTACGTCGGTTAGATTTAAATCAAAATTATGTATTCACTAATTATGCTTACCTCTTGTTCACAAACAAGTTTTAGACTCCTGTACAAAGTCTTCTCCACCAATTTGCATTCTCTTATAGATTTGATGAAGCCTGGTTTTTTGAAGTAGGGCCTGTGACCAATACATTTTCCTAATATTGTTTAGATTTTGATGTTGAAAAACTAATTGACAAGATTATTTGATCACATCTATATGGTATATATGTACGTATATATGTACGTATGTATTAGATTAAGAACATGTAAGGCTAATAATCCCTACTCCAAATGTTTATCGACGTTCTCTAGCTCTTGGTTGTATTCGTTCAGTTTTCTTCTATGCTCCTGCAACACAAATGAGATCTGTTTAATTCCCTTCATAATTAAATCAATGAAAATCCAAGGCATTTTATTCGCATACATACTACACATATATGTATACATGTATATGCAAACACAAGCACGTACGTACCTCCAACCTCCTCCGATTCCGATTCATGGCTTCTATAACAAAGCTACAAATGATAAAATAATTGATTAATGACTCTCTCTATATATATATATACACACACACACACACACACACGTAATGGAAGTTTTATAAAGATTAATTAAGTAGAAGTTAGAGAAAATCCAAACCAATTTTTTCGTTGTTGATAGGAACTAGATTCCAGTTTTATACGATTAAGAGCCTCTTTCATCATCTGCAAATCATTTTTCTAACATATTTAGATAACTTCATCGATAACAAATGTATATATATATATATATATATCTCTATATTACAAACAGCAAGTAAATTTACTGACCTCTTCATTATTCACGCTACCATATTCATGAACCGCCCATGATGAATGTGTTCATGTTAAATTTAAATGTTAGTAGTATTTATTAAAAAATTTTGCGTAGATATTATAATCTTATAATAAAAAATTTGAATGTTTACGATTAAAATGTTTATAACTAAAATAACATAAAACGAGAAAGCATAAGATAATAGTATTGGATAGACTTATTTTTAATAGTATAAGATCGAACTTTACGGTGTATATATATAACTATTTTCTTAATTATTGTTATATTTATTGCTTTATATAATTCAATCTCATTTCCCCTCCCTCAAAATGTACAGCATACCTTTCTCTGCAAGGTGGTGGAAGATTAAGATAACGCTCGAGAGTTTCTTCTACACTGTAAAAAAATCAAAGTTTAATCTAATCAAAATAATCTTTTGTTAATTCCCTAAAATTCGTAATTAATCAGTAATCAGGAAATTAATAATTCAAATATAAAAATTAAATTAACCTGCTTTTTCCATCGAAAAGAGAGAGCTTCCCGGTTGGGGTAAAAAAGATGAGAGCAAGGTCTATCTCGCACAGAGTTGACAGTTCATAAGCTTTCTTGACAAGACTATTTTTCCTATGGGAAAAAGTAATAGACTTATTGGCTTTGTTCTTGCCTTCTCCCAATTTTGTTTTTGGCCTCCCCATTTTGTCTCTCTTCACAAAATGGTTTTTTGCTCTTTGTAAAATAGCTTTTTTTCTCTTTTTCTCTTCTCTCTACTCTTCTGCTTCTCTGTTTATCTGCCTTTTTATAATGTGTTTTTTTCACTTTTCACCTCACCCATAGTTTTTTTTTTTTCTTCCCTTATATGGGTAATTTCATATATATCCAATTGTTAATTAACAATTGTATACTAATAAATCATAATTTGGGTTAAATTCAAAATTTAGCAAATATTAATAACACAAATCCGAAACATCTGTCACTTTTTAAATATTGATATATAAAGAAAATAATAAAGCTATGAAGATTTTTTATATCTGTACTCTCATATTTCTTCATTTGTTTGGATTTTTTTAATTTAAATATTCATTTTAAAAATTTTGCTGAATTTTAATGTCATAAAAGCAAAAAAAAAGCTAACCCAATCTCAATATGTTGTGGATAATAAATTTCGTATCTATTCATAAATTGATATATATGGAAAATAGAAATTAATAAGATTTGATATCAATATTCTTATATTTCTTCACATTTTTTAAGATTTTTTTAGATAATTTTTCTTTTTCTTCAAATTTTGGGTGAAATTAAATTGACTTTGCCCTCTCAAAATCAATTTATAAATAATGAAATTAGGTTAAAATAATCAAAAGGGTTTGAAGTCTTACTCGAAGAACACGATGGAAAGGAGGTGTTTGGTTGGAGAGGAATTTATAAAAAGGAGCACCCCTAAATACAAGGGATTTTGGTAAATTTGCGTTAAACAAAAGCGAAGCCGCATTGTCAAATTCTGCTACTACTACTGCTGCTGCTACACCGTTGCTACACCGTATCTTGTACGTAAAGTTGACCTCCAGTTCAAACTCCATATTTAGTGGGTCCCACAAGTCTAAAACTATGTGGGCCCGTCTATATATTTTTTATATTATTTTATTGAAACAATTTTATTATGATTAATACATGTTTTATTTTTTAAATTTGTATTTTAAGTTGATGACGTGATTATTCTTTGGTGATAATCTATCTATTTATTTTAACGTAATATTAATTTAATGATTAATTTTTAAGAGATCATAGATTTAATTGCAACAATTGAAAATTTGAAAACCAATTTAAGAAAAAGTGAAATGTGGAAGTGACTTAGAATAAGATTATTATAATCTTTTTATTTTGTACAATTTAAAGCAAAATAATTAACGATAAAAAGATTATGAACTATATCATAAAATGATAAAATACATATAATTGGATTCAGTTCAAATTTTTTTAAAATAGTAAGAATTAATTTATAGTATAAATATAAATATAAACTCGATTAAAAATAACTGTTAAGTCCTAAATCAATATTCGTCTCGAATTTTTTATTTTATTTCTGTAATATATTTTTTTTGACATGCCAAAAAAAAAATCTTAACATTAATACATTATATTATCAAATATGATTTATTATAATTTTAATTTGAAAAAATATGAAGGCCCATTAGTTTAAGCCCAATAAATAATTAATTTCAGGCCTCTTATTCTGATCCGAGGAAAAAGAAGCAGCAGTTTTTGGGCTTACTTTGCAGCCCATAGGTTCATATCTCACTTGGTATGTATGTATATATATATATATTTTTTAATGTTTTTCCATTATAAATATAAAAATGTACTTATAGTTATAATATATAACTATAAGTACATTTATGGGCCATCCCTATCAATTAATTTAAAATTTAAAATATAACACAATCAATATATATATATATATATTTGAGTTTCTCCTTGGAAAATTTGTTCATATCTCACTTGGTATGTATATATGTAAATTTCTTAATGTTTTTCCATTATAAATAAATATAAATATAAATATATTAATATTAATATAATAAAATATTATGTTTAAGTTTAGACTCGTTATCTACAAACCTAATAGTCTTAAAAAAAATAAAAATATTCAAACTCACTCTAAGTCTGGAGCATATTTAAATTTATTGTTTGTAGAGAATCTAAATCTCATTTTAATTATTTATTAATTAATAAAGAAATAATTTTATTAGTTTTAAAAAAATTGGAAATCACGTGATATTTAGAAGAATATATATTTAAATTTGCGCCCATGAATTTTATAATTTTACCATTCTTCTGTACCTTTAAATTTCTTAATATATATATATATATATATATATATGTATATGTATTAAAATATTTGTAAGGTTTTTAACCTAACCTTCCCGCCAAACCTTCAAAGATATTGGTTGGATCGCGAAGAGCAACCAACAACTACCATTCTCTCTTAACTACTTCTTTTTAAACCCAATTTCTAATTTATTCTTTTTTTTTTTGTTTTTGGCTGAGAAATTCAATTGCTCTATAAACAAACCAAATCCTCTCTCTTGCTTTTCTTTCGTATCTGAATCGAAGTACCTGCAGCTTTGACTATGGAGATTGCATTTAAGAGTCTTCAAGAGGTAATGTCATTGATATCTATCTACCTTCTTCTCTGTTGTTTTTTTGAATTTTTCAACTGATCTGAAAAGCTTCTGCTATGGAGATTACTTTTAAGATGTTTTTAGAGGTGCGAATCTGATTGCATATATCCATACAAACATATATATGTAAATACATTTCGAATGTTTTGACTGAGCTATCAATCTTCTGTTTCCTTCTTCTTGACCTTTCAGATTAATACCTAATTGAACTCCATATAAATTAGAGAGAAGACGGCGAGAGGGGAAACAGAGAGATATATTCGCCTCGTAAAAATTTGATTACAGGATGTATAAACAGAAGTTACAGATAGTAAATCCTCATGGAGATTTGAACTTAAGCAAGACTAATGGTGAAGTAAGAGGCCAATTCGACTGATTTGATTTCTGCTACTTTCTCCATAATTATTTACCGGCCAATATGGTGATGTTGATTTGTTTATGGGGTTACAGGACGATTTGGCTGAGTGGTCGGTTACTCTTGTTCTCGTTTCTCGTTTCGTTGCTTGTATTATCGTAATAGGTAAGTGGCCAATTACACCTTTGCTCAATAGAAAATTGATGTTTCCTACTTGTTATCCATTATTTACTCACACATTCTTTGGATTCCCTCTTTTAATTTACTATTTAATCCCTTGTATTACAAACTAATAATGATTTGAATGCTGAAGCGTTAATCATGATGGTGATTTTGATGATCCTGAAGTATCTGGGAGAACTCGACAGTGAAAGAACAGGTGAAGATGCAAGAACTCAAACCAATCTTTTACCGGCTACAAAGACTGCATCATCATTTACATATGGAACGATGTGTGACCAACATGATTGCAGTACAAGTTACAGCAACACAAGTTATAACTATTCAGAAGATTTGTATGATAAGAAATTATGTATAATTTGCTATGATGAAGAACGAAACAGCTTCTTCGTTCCATGCGGTCATTGTGCCACCTGCTATGACTGTGCTAAAAGGTATATCTCTATTTTCCAATTGAGAAAGGTCCATCTCTATTCCATCATAGATATATACATTATTACATATTTGAGGTATAACTATTTGAAATATGAACATGGGTGAATATATTTGCAATGAGTTAAGAAGTATAATTAGAAATTGGGTTTGTGAAAGCTGATCACGAGTATTGGGTTTTTTGCAGGATTTTTAATGTTGAAAACAAGGCATGCCCAGTGTGCCGCAGATTCATTGGAAAAGTAAGAAAACTGTTTGCTCCGTAAGGAAACAGATTTTGCCTCTGCCATTTTTGGTTTTTCAAAGCACTTAAAGAGTTCTATTAGTACATGATTTAGATCGTTTGAACCCCTAAATTTTTTGGGAAGAGGTAAAAATGTACTGGCCTAAATTCTAATTGTGCCTCTTATTTTTTCTTTTTTCTCTTGTATGATGGGTTTTGCAGAGCAACATTTAAATATAATTACTCAAAAATATAAATATATAGTTTATATATATACATATATATATATATATATTTTACATTACTGCTAATAAGGCTACATAGCTTATGTGACTGTCACATAATCATCATCTTGTATATAATGTAATATATATTTTTTATTTGAAAAATAATAATTAAATATATTAAAAAAATAAAAATTATTTTTTCTTTTTGTTCTTCATTCCGGTTTGTCTCTAGCCTTCTCCGTCCTCCCTGCTTTTTCATCATCATCTTCTTCTTCTGCTTCTGCTTCCTCTTCTTCTTCTTCTTCTTCTTCTTCTTCTTCATGGTCCCCCCCAAGAAACCCCTTTTATTTGGTGTTCCAATTTTGCCTATCGCAATCTATGTCCGCAAATAGGTCCCTCTTCCCCTCCTCCCTCTCTCTCTCTCTCTCTCTCTCTCTCTCTCTCTCTCTCTCTCTCTATATCCTTTTCTTAAGCTTTTTCGCAGCTGCAAAAGAGCTCGAGAAAGAAAGAGGAGTTAACGACCGACTTAAACTGTGATAGATAAAATTAAAGCCTTGAAGATATGGTCAATTGGGAAGACCGCGAAAAAGAAGAAAAAGCAAAAAGAGGATGGTGAAGCACACAGAGAAGCCGAAGCTGAAAATAAAAAGAAAACATTTATTTTTATTTCTTAATAAATTTAATTATTATTTTATAAAAAAATTATATCATAATATTAGATGCCAAGTAACGGTTGTGTTTCGCATGTATATTTTCTGAAGTCACATAATTAAGTTAGAATTTATGTGAAATAAATACAGAGGGTATTTAAATCCGTTAATTAAAAAAATTACTTTGAAAGTTGGTTCAATTTCTTCTGTCTTCACCTACTGTTGATGAGTGCGCGACAAGTTGCAGTCAACCATGTGGTTCCGACCCAACCCAAATTAGAACCAACCAGAGACACCCACTCCAAATTAGAACCAATACAGAAAGCTTAGTTTATGAACAGTCCTTTTCCAAGGCGTCTCTCTCTTTTTCTTAATCCCCCATTTCAATGGACCGGTTGCTCTCTTATCACTTGTACAGGTACTGTGCGGGACCATTTCATTTTTAATGTAAATAATAAATATTAATATATAGTATCCTCATGCAATAATTTATTTACCAAAAAGATTGCAAGCGTTTTTTTTTGCATTTTAAAATGTAAACCGGGAATGAGATGCGCGTGGGGAAATAACATATGGAATACAGCAGAGTGATGAATAGTTTGAGAAGGGGGGGGGGGGGGGGCAACAGACGGTGGCACATAAATTCATGCTATCACGAGCCATCCACGACCAAAACACGTGTTGTCTTGTGGCCCGCACGTACATGGCGACATCCGAGCCCTCTTTCCTCGCGCTTTCTTCTCGCCTCGTAAGCTTCCGTGACCATTTAATTTCTCCTACTTTATTTGGTACATAATTAATTATTTTTCTTTAAGAAACAAAAGGGAATTCCGTGGTCCCAAGACATAGATTTAATGTTAAGAAAATTCTAAATATTTAAACTAATAATATCGGGTGCACAAAATTATATCTGTATAAATTAATTTTAAAGAATAAATAAAAAAATAATAATATATTTGTTACAGAACAGAATCTTTATCATGTCAGTTATCACAGTAGAAATAAATAAATGATTCAATGTGTAACAGGCCTGTTTAATTTGTCCGAGGCATGGGGCGGGCGTGCATATATCATGATTAATTGAAATTCGAAATGTCACTATTTAATGACGTCATTTTCGAATATATTTACAGAAAACATAAAAACAAAACGTCTCTCATTTTTCAGACCTCATTAATAATAAATTGATTAAAATTATTAAAAAAAAAATTTACTTGATTTAATTAAAACAAATCGATTTATATGGTCATTTTAATTTAATTTAGTTTTTGATTTTATAATTTAAATAAAATTAATTTGAGTCGATAAATAAATATTTTCTGCCAGTTTGGTAATTGATCCGGTTTTATTAATTTAGGAAAATGATAAATTAAAAGGAGAAAGGTAAAGAAAAAGAGAAAGAAAAAAGAAAAACGGAGCCTATAATTAAGAGGAGTAAGATGTAAGGAAAGAGAGGCAAAAGAGCTGGTCTGTTACTGGTTTATTCATTTAGTGACAATTGTTTTTAACAGATTTACAGGCTTACAGCGGTTTCGAAGACGATAAAACCAGGAGCAAAGACTTAATCGCACCAATCGACACTTGACAGCAGCCAAGCATGCCGGCGGAGGAGAACCAGCTGCCGCTTTTGGCGGAGCCCCATGAAGAGGTGGCCTATGATGAGGCCGAAAAAGTGCACATAGTCGGGGTCGGCGAGGAGTCGGAGCTCGAGGGCGGCTTGCTGGCGGCTCCGCCGTTCTCATGGAGGAAGCTGTGGCTCTTCACCGGGCCAGGGTTTCTATCGAGCATCGCGTTCCTGGATCCCGGGAATCTGGAAGGGGATCTCCAGGCAGGCGCGATTGCTGGGTACTCCTTGCTCTGGCTTCTCTTGTGGGCCACGGCCATGGGGCTTCTCGTTCAGCTGCTAGCGGCGCGGTTGGGGGTAGCGACTGGGCGCCACTTGGCCGAGCTGTGTAGAGAGGAGTACCCCACTTGGGCTAGGTTGGTGTTATGGGTAATGGCGGAGTTGGCTCTTATTGGAGCTGATATCCAGGAGGTTATTGGGAGTGCCATTGCTATCCAGATACTGAGCAACGGGGCTATCCCTCTATGGGCTGGTGTTGTCATCACTGCTCTTGATTGGTAATTTTCTTTTTATAAAGAAAATGCGATTGTCTTTTGATTTTTTTATTGAGTTTGATCTGGTTTTGTTTTCTTTTACTTTTTGTTTTGTTCTTTTGTTTTTTAGTTGGATTTTTTGATAGTAAAGTTCATGTAGTGGAGTTCCTATTTGGGAAAGTGCATCAACTATTTTCTGAAGTCTGTTTGGTTCCCAGGAAAATTGTGGGAATGAAGTTCATGTAGCTCTATTCAACAACCTTGAATGGGATTTTACTTTTACAATTTCTGGGATTAATTTTTTTTTTCTCTTAATGGGCTTAATACGATTTATTTCCAGAATTCTCTTAGCAAATTGGACATAGGTAAGTAATCTTTGCTCCCTCCTGTTTGACTCAGCATTTTCTTCCATTTCTCGTTGCAGTTTTCTCTTTCTTTTTCTCGAGAACTATGGGATAAGAAAACTGGAAGCTGTCTTTGCAGTTCTGATAGCTACAATGGCAGTCTCATTTGCCTGGATGTTCGCCCAAACAAAGCCCAGTGGCACTGAACTTATTGTTGGTAATGATAATTTCATTTACTGAAATGAGTTAGTTTGTCCATAGTTTCCATTTTACTGTCTTCTCTGTGTAAAATCTGTAATTGTGTAACTCATTTCTTGACCCGGTGAACGAGTGGAATTTTTCAGGTATGTTGGTTCCAAAACTAAGCTCTAAAACAATCCAGCAGGCTGTTGGGGTTGTGGGTTGCATTATTATGCCTCACAATATTTTCTTTCATTCCGCTCTTGTGCAATCAAGAGATATTGATCACAGTAAGAAAGGTCGTGTTCAGGAAGCTCTCAATTACTATACCATCGAGTCAAGTGTTGCTCTTACAGTTTCATTTATAATAAACCTTTTTGTTACTACTGTGTTTGCAAAGGGGTTTTATGGCACAGACCTAGCCAAGAGTATTGGCCTTGCAAATGCAGGGCAATATCTTCAAGAAAAATATGGGGGTGGGCTTTTTCCGATTTTATATATATGGGGTATCGGGTTATTGGCAGCTGGCCAGAGTAGTACGATTACTGGCACTTATGCAGGGCAGTTTATCATGGGAGGTTTCCTAAACCTGAGATTGAAAAAATGGGTGAGGGCAATGATCACGCGGAGCTGTGCAATCATCCCAACCATCATTGTTGCGCTTGTTTTTGACTCCTCAGGAGAATTGCTAGATACTCTAAATGAATGGTTGAATGTGCTCCAGTCTGTTCAGATTCCTTTTGCAATTATTCCCCTTCTCTATTTGGTGTCCAAGGAGGAAATTATGGGAACCTTCAAAGTTGGGGCCCTTCTCAAGGTATACTTATTCCTTCCTTTCACATCTCGGTTATGAGTCTCTTGATAACCATTGGATAATATCTCCACTATTACATTGTCGTATAAAGTTTTATCTTTTAAGGAGTCCTAATCGCCAATAGCTTGTGAGTGGAAAAAGAAACACTTTAACAAACTAAAACATTTTGTATCGGAAATAATGAGCTACTTTTTTTATTTTAAATCAATCTGTTGATTATATCAGGACTAACTTCAACAGTTTGCAACAGTTGAACACTTTTAAGTATAATTGTTTTAGGAGTTCTTGTTTATCGTTCATAGTCTTAGTAAATGAAAAATTTAAAGAATTACTCTTTTGATTTGTAGCCAGAGAAACATTCTTTTTTTGAACTTCCATAAATGACTAACTACCTGTTGCATGATGTCTCGGTTTTTATTTTAAGTGGGAATCATCCCAGAAATAGTCTGTGCCTATCTGGCCCTACTGGTAATTGGCTTAGTTGTCATTCTTCTTTTTTGACACTGGACATACTTTTATCCTGGCATGCTATATACAGCAAAGGAATTTGTGGTTTTCGACAGTAATATAGTTTCTCTTGTATTTGCAACTCCGATCCTGAACTCAATTTGATCGAAAAAATTTTTAAGTGGATGTGGGCGGTCAAGCAGGGTCTTTCCTTCTGTATTTGTGGGGAAGTGGGAAATGTTTACGAGGGTTGAAAAACTCAATTGCTGCCCAACAGTTTCACCATATGTTTGGCATATGGCTTGTTGGTTCAAATCAGCCATTTGTTTATGCATTCATTAAAATCTTTTCAGGAGAGATTCTGCTTCTTTTACATAGGTAAACATGACCTTGGTGTTTGTTGCTGATTTATAAAGGCTATCACTCTAAAATTTGTTTGCTGATGCGTGTTCCAGATGTTAGGCTATACGTAAGTTCTTATCATTCAATAAAAAAGATGTTTTTGTCTAGATTTTCTTTTTCTTTTTATGAGTCAAAAATTGTTTTTCCTCTCTATTTTTACTTTGCAATATGAATAAGGAAAGGCAATTGTTGATAGGATTCACAGAGATGTCTGTCATAACTTGAAGCAAGTATCTTGCATATATCTTTGGAGAAAGGGAAGGATGTAACAATTTCTGTTCTTCCTTTATGCAGACCATATCATGGCTTGTGGCTGGATTGGTGATTTTGATTAATGGGTATCTTTTGCTGGAGTTCTTCTCTTCGGAAGTGAGAGGGATACCATTCACCGTCACTGTATCAGGTTTTATAGGGGCATATCTAGCCTTCATAGTTTACCTTATCTCCCGCGACATTACCTTTTGCCCATGGCGCTGCTTAGCACAATCCAAACAAGCACAGATAAGTTGAATAAACCAAATCTTCAATGTCAGTGGCAAAATATTTCAGCCACACAGTACCATGGCGTATCGCCTACAGATTTGTTTCAGGGAGCTGCCATTCATTTGTGAGAAATGATTAGGCCTTTCTGCAAAGTAGCTTTGTAAAAAGTCTAGTCAAGTTGTTTACCTTATCAGATTCCAGGCCACAGAGGGTAGTTGTTTCTGTATGATAGAACTTATTGTTGTATCTTCTGTGGTATGGGAACTTAGAAACAGGAATCACGACCTGAAGTCCTCTTGAAACTCAGAAGAGCTTCCATTATGTATTTTGTTTCTTGAATTCTTATCTCGGGTTAATAGTGAAGTTGGCTATATTTATGCATATTAGCTCAGCAATCTCTGTAGTCTTTTTAACTTACTTTGCAGTCTGGTATTTGAGGCCGTACTCTGTTCTTCTTTGCTATATGAGCTTAGATAAATTGGTAGATTCCAAGAATTTATAATTATATATTTACAAATTTTTACCAATAATTTGAGATGAAATAATCAGATTTGCCAATTTCCAAGTATTCCCGAAATATTTAATTATTCTTTCATGTGAAAATAAATTGAGTATAAAATAATGAATTATTATTGCAACGATGATATATATCGGTATTAATATGCGATTTTGTAAATTTAGAGAACATTTTTACTTATAAGAAGATACCATTTTTTTATTTGAATTATTTTTATAAGGAATAATATTTTATTTAAATTTAATAAAAACTATATCGGTATTAATATGCGATTTTGATTATTTAAAAAATAAAAACATTTAAGAGTTAAAAAAAGTCCATTAAATTTACATTTTTGTATATAGGTACAAATTTTTTAGGCTAAATATGAAAATAGTAGATAGTAAAAATTAAATTATATTTTTATATTTAAAATTTTGAGTAAATAATTATTAAATATAAAATTATATATATATATTTTTTTAAAAAAAAACATGAGACGCAATAACTTCCGATATTATAAATTTTCTAATGGCATTGTGATCCATTTACGAATACGGTGGCCC